TACAGGGCGCCACTCTGTTAACGAGCGAGTTGGCCGTAGAAGTTGCGCAACGTTAGCTGGGTGGCGCACAAACCCTAGACCAGTTACAGTTTGATGGTTCTGATGAACCAGTCGGATCGCCGACTAACGCCGAGCTCTCCTCCTCTCCCTCAGCATTACGAAGCGGCTTCGCCAGGCGCACTTCATAACGGAAGCGAAACTTGATCATTCATTGAGCTGCTCATATTACGCTGTACTGATGGAATCGTAAAAGATAGAGTAACCCAAGGGTGCAATGTTGGCGCAGGAGACGGAGATACCGGCTAGGAAGGCATTAGAGGCGTTTTGGATTTCTGTCAGAAATCCTCGTATGAACAACCGAGACGAGCGTCCGTCAATTTCCAATGACCTCCTGTCGTTCATTCCGTATTGCGAGCTATAAAGTCACCAGTGCTACGTGCGTCTACGCGTTTCGATACATACAAGGAGGCGTTATATGTAATTTCCATTCGCTACTGATGACTTATGGAATAGCGGATTATTCCGCTCTACGATGGAACAAAGGTGAGCGCCTTCGTGTTGTGTGAGATTCTCGGTTGAGTTTCACTATGTCATCGGAAATGCTGGGGTGGATTAGGCGCTTGGCGGGGTAGTGCACATCTCTTAATCTCGAAACACTTTTAGGCCTCTGAAGAAGACGATTAGTCGAAACGTCAGGCCGTTAATAAATAGTTCCACCTAAAAACATCGTGAGACAATAATGTACTGAATTATTGTCCTAGAAGGGCAGAGTCACCAAATGCGTGACTCGCGTCACAGAAACTGTAGAACGTTGGTTCCAAAAGTAAGATGGGGGACAGGATGGGAACATTATTGGTGGTGGCAAGGAATGGATAACAGTTGATAAGATACCATAAAGGGCCCTAAGGATGGTCACCAACTTCATGGTAGAACGTTGACAAGCAGTGATATAAAAGGCAGGATGGGGACGGTGGGTCAGAGGAAGCCCACAAATCAATGGGCAAAAGCTCAATGAGCCTGTTTCTATCCCTCAGCGATATAGCTGAAATTGATTCGACCGCTAAACTCTAGAGTTTCACCCAAAAGTAAAAGTCTAAAGATGTTTGTCAGTGAGGAATGATAAGAGCCACCAGCAGACGGACACGTGAAAGCTGCTCAACGGAAGCGCTAGGATATAAGGAGCTTTCACTAAGATTTCGATATTGTTACCACCGAAATTCTTTCAACCGCTAAGCCGTCCTATTTCCAGCGAATGGTGGGTGTTTTTATAAAAGTGATAAGAAAAGACATTGGCACACATTCTTTAAGAAGGAGAAATAGAAATACGGTGGATTGGGCCGTATTTCAAGACGTGGCAATTAGCCGATCAACACAGCGCAATATTAGCTCAGTGAGTGGACCAATTCTCTTTCCATTATGAAGTGCTACTGGCGAAGCCGGGCCAAAGAGAAGGAGGAGAGCTCGGCATCAGCCGGGCGATCAAACTGGTAGAGAGACAAAGATAAATTATCCTTGTGGAATGCCCCACAATTCGCGCCTTCATAAGTTAACATTTGAATAAGTGTTTCACCGAAGTTGCTGGGGTGGAAAAACCGTGATTCACGTCGAATCTTGGTGTTCCGTGAGACCTATTCAACATCGATCGTCCCAGCATAGCAAGAGCAAGGTCATTCGACTTGACCTCCGAGCCAGCGCGAACTACAGTCCGAATATGCTTCAGACAGCTTTTACTATGTCATGGGGTCTTTGAGGAACTTCGTCTTAGGTAATCTCTAGTGATTGCTCTAGGGTGCATTGATTCAAAGCCCAGCCTTTCTCGTCCAGGACAGAGCCCACACAGAAGTTTATTGTGTTAATATCTCACTAAAGAGCTAAGAGATGGTCAAATAGCTGATTCCAGGAACACGAAGAGCGGCACTAGATTTGAAATTTATCATTTTTGAGGTAGAATTTCACGACATCGAACGGTCCAAGCAATATTCTAACATTAACTCTTGTCCACAATGATATCTTCTCACAACATCCCAATTATGATCATTGTCCCAATCTTGATTTCGGCGAGGAAAAGCAGTGTGGAGCAGACAGAAGATTTCACCCTGAAACGTCTTGCAAAAGACTAAGAAACGCGCTGGCGCTCTTCTCAGATTTTAGACACTTACTGGCGAGCATACGAGTGTTCTGGGAATTGAACTTGTCTTCTGGTTGAGCGAATCTTCGCATCGTTAAAAACTGTGTTGACGAAAAAACAAGAAGATTGCAAAAAAACAGTACGGCCCTGCCTCTTCTTTGCAAGGTTTTCGAACGTCTTAAAATTTCAGGAAACTTGTCTGTACACTGCTATAATTGGCTATGAGCGACCTCTTCAGAGATACGGTAGAGAGGTTCGTTCATTAACAAGTTCCCCCTCTGTTCTCCGACTTACAGGGGGGGGGCAAAAAAAGTCACTTTGCTTCATTGACTTTCGAGGCGCTATAAGTTACACTTTATAAATTCTGATCGGACATTTCTACCACCATATTAAAGAGCATATTAAATACTATTATGACACTCCGCCACAGCCTTCTGGAGGAGCGCCATCGAGAGATTCTGGCACGCAACCGCGATGTGGTCCCTGAGATCAGCGAGATAGTCGATTTCTCCGCCACCGTAGACCACCCTATTGAACTCCGCCCGAACCGGGTAATTGAGGGGATTCAGGTCAGGTGACCTACTTGGATATTCCATCTTCTTTAGGTACTCAGCCCCCTTCCATTCCAGGTAGGCGAGAGTTTCTCCAACGCCCTTCGATTCCACGTGGTGGCACCCAATGCTGTAGCAGTACAAAGTTTCCAAGAAGGTACGGGCGACGACATGTGGGGAAGATATTCTTCTTGAGTTGGTCGATGTAACCGCCAGCGCTCAGCTTCAGCCCGGGGTCCACGAAGAAAATATTGGTCTTTCCATTCCAGGTGCGTCCGGTCCATACCATCAACCCGCGCCTTGGCGACTGCCGTGAAGATGATGTCCTAGACCGTAGCGACGTTGTCGGAGCTGCTCGATGTTGGAGGTCATCCAGATCGAGAGTACTGGTCTCCAGGTAGCTATCCATGGGTGACTCCATACTAGAAGTTTCGCAGCTGTTTGGAGGTGACATGAATTCCAAAGGTCTTCTCCAGTCAGGCTGCGACTGGAGATGACTTCATATTTTGGTGTACATGAAGGTGATGGGCGAGAGCCAGCTCCTGCTTATCGAGGAACATCTTGGGTATCTTCCGCCCTGGTACTCGTATCCACGTCTTCTCTCTGGGCTGCGAAAACTTTGCTGATATGTGACTCGGTCGAAGTGACTTTTTTGCCCCCCCCTGTAGTATCTCTACCACGATTTGTTCTTAGCTGCGGAGTTGTACAAGAGTAAAGACAAATGTATCAACTGGGCGGGATTCGCTTCTGAGTAAGTTACGCTCCACAAGCGGAAAATCCGTGCGCGAGGCCCTCGAGGACAGTTTTGGCACCATAATTTCATACTCGGCTTAATATGCTAGCAGGGGCCACATATTGGGGAAAATGAAAACGAAGTGAAACGGTCAGAAAAAAAAGAAGAGCCTTCGATTCTTATGGCTGAGAAAGTAATTCTGCTGTTTGCAAGACGTAGAATCCCTTCGAAGCTCCTGATCAGTGACGAACTTATCGATCAGAACGTTCCTGTGTATGCATCTCCTATGCACCGCCAATGCAAGGGTTACACCCCTTTATCTGGCATGTGAGCTCCCAAGGCTTACTGGTGCGCATTCGAATGATATAGTAGAAGTGATGAGAGAGACTACCATTAGAAAGTGCGCCATAAAACAATTTTCGACAAGATTCGGAAACGCTTATGAAATTTTGACACATTTTTTCATTATCTTCGCTTCCGTTACAGTTAGTGTTGGTTTGTGTGCAGATATGTGCCTTATTATCTCCTCACTTGAGAAACGAAAAGTGTAAATTCTCCTCTACATCGCAGATCCAGTCAGTGAATCCTCTAAAAGGCGCTGCGCAGCGCCTTTCCCCGGGCAGGTGTCCGCCCGCCCACAAATGGACGACCGTATCTGATGCTCGTATTGCTTTTTTTTGCTAAGTAAATATAAACTGAAGGGATCGGTGTGAAGTGGCTGCGGTACGGTGCTGCAGCAGGAGGACATACGTGCAGCCGCAACTACATGTTCCGCAGTTTTCCCGCTGTTCTCTTCCTTAGTGTCCATCACGATATATTTGTTTGAACGAACCTATCTACCGTCTCTCTGAACAGAGTAGCTTACAGCTAACAATAGCAGTATCTAGTATCTAGACATGTTTCGGGAATTTCAAGACGTCCTCAACAAGCAGAACCTTGCAAGGGAGAGGAAGGGTGCTCTTGCGCGGCACGCAACTCAACACAATTGTTACGATCGTAACGCTGCCTAGCCCAGAATACAGGTTCATTCAGAATACTCAAATGCTCGCAATAAGAATCTAAAAGCTGAGGAAAGCGCCAAAGCGTTTCTTACAGTCTTTTGCAAGACGTTTCAGGGAAAAATCTCCAATTTGATCCACAGTGCTTTTCCTCGCCGAAATCAAGATCGAGACAAGGATCACAGTTGGGATGGTTTTGAGAAGATATCAGTGTGGACAAAACTCAGTGTTAGAATTATGCCGGTCGAATCGTTCAATGCGCTGAGTCTAGCCAAAAAGGATAAGACACGTCGAATCTTGTACCGCTCGCTTCCGTGTTACCTTAACACTATTTGACCATCTTCTATAAGTAGATATCAAACACGTAACTTCTGTAATGCTCTGTCCTGGAATAGCAAGCTGCCGCTTCGAATCCAATGTCTTCCCTAAAACAACACAAGAGAATAACCTCAAGTACAAGTGTCTGTGTCATCATCGTCATCCTTAATGCTTATAGTTATCGCTTATCTCTTTGAAGAGGTAAACGAAGGACAGTCGCACGGCACACAAACAAAAAGATCAACTGAACGCCTGAGGTAACATTGTAATAAATGCTCAGTCTAGACGTACTCACAGGAAAAACAAGAGAAGAGGGGTGATTCAGGTCCGAACGAAGTTTTCAGCTGTGAAAAGGCCTCACCAAGCGAGCCGCAGGATGAGTTCAATGTAGGAGATATCGTCTCCCAACGTGATTTCTCTTTAGCTTTCAGGGTACGTTTCATAGGTTAGACAGCACGTTGACATTGCATACCATTAACGACATATGACCGATCTAACTAGCCTAGTACCTTCAGGTAATGGCGGAAATAAAAAAGCGTAGATCCTAAGACCTCTGACCAGAATGATAACGGAGGAATTCTTCACTTCTTGAATCAGAAAATGATTGCCCGTCCTATCGAGTAATATTCCAAGTAGACGGACAAGATTTCATTACCCTTATGCAGTCTTTCAAGTTCATTTAATCTAGTACTTTAGGTTATGCGACTAATTCACGAGGGTCTCAACAAGTGTTGGGAAAAACTCATGGATAGATACGGAGAACTAAAGTTTTCAAACGAAATTCTCGTATTCATTTGTGAAAGAGAAAAGGTGAATATATTACCAGGGCTCGGGGCTACATAAATTTTCAAGCCGTTTTGACATGAAACTGCGCCATTGCGACGTGATGTTAGCTCTATCCTGACATTACATCCAGAATCATGCGGAGCGGACGCCATGATTGCGTGAGTATTCTCACTCCATCTCTCCACAACGTTGCCCCAAATGGTAAGGTCGAAGTGCAATTGCAGTCGACATAGTGCTGTAGAATCATTTTATCGAGCTCGTACCACGATAACATAGTGAATTATTTACACACGCACTGTTGTCCAATTCCTAAAAGAGCTGTCCGGCGGTGCGATATAAATGAACACATTTAATAGACTTCACATAAAGCTAATCAATGACGAACGACGTAGCAAAAACACATTCATAAACATCAAAAAATCATCAAAGACACAAGATCTAACCGTATCGAAAGAAAACGGAGTTTAAGAGCAATCAGAGAAACAGAAAAAAATGTATGACATTACGGACTTTTGAAGCGCGCGAATGTGAGGACTTATGAAGAGGTAGGGCGCTTATAAGGCAACACTGCACCGCGTTAATCATTCAAAAAAGAGACAACAACTAAACAACCAAATTAACCAAGAGATACCGCAAAGCAAAAAACACAACAGACATCAGAGAAGTAAGAGAGAGTCAAAACCAATATGAAGTGAGCATAAGAAAGTAACACACGCGATCTAATATTAGTAGGCGGTTGATGGCCGTGTTGTGGGAAAAGGTTTGTGTAGAGAGAAAGAGTGGCTGAAGGTTTAGTTCATATCCTCATCAAATATGCTTGAATGTGAAGAAACATCACTAAAATAAGTCTGATATCCGTTTTCAGTGGAAATCTCAGAGCCGATGCTGCTGTCAACGAGAGAAGTGTCTCCAGATAGTGTTATATCACTGACAAGCCTTATGGTATGTTTTTCTCACCATAACTCTTCCAGTTTAGTGATCTGTTGAATTTTTAGGTTCCTCTTAATGAACAAACTAACAGCATACATATCAATGATGTGGAAAAGAGCAGACTTGAAGATCAGCACAAAAAAGTGCGTTGCCAAATTCTTCACAGCAGAACCACGAGAACCCGAGTGTGATAATGTATCTGTTCCTCGACAAGATCGAGAAGGTGCAGGGGCTGATACGCGCGCTAATCACCGTATGGTCGCGGCGCACCACTGTGATGGGGATTTTGTGCGATACGCTCCTACCCAGAAGGGGAACCAGTGGTTTTCTCAAAACCGTACAGATAAGGGTACGGAGGTCAACATTAATCGGTAGGTGCTTAGTAAATGCTAATAAATGCTGCTAGATAACTCATCAATGAAGATCAGATGTGATCCAGTAGGAGCAGAAATGGCAAAACCTTTTGCTGAGGACCCCTCAAAAATCGGACAACTCAGGAGGTTACGAATGGGAACATTTGTACACGACAAGAAGTTATAGGAACGAAACACAGTTATCAGGGAATTGTGTTCAAGGAACGAGACCGACACAAATTTTTACAGACTCTTAGGGAATGGATTACTCAAAAGAGAGGGCATTAGCAGTTGCATATGCCGCATTGGAGCAGACTAAGCAGCCAAACAATGCAGGATATTTTGTTGAAGTTGCCTTCAGTCTTCGCGATTGGCGGTCAGCGTTAAAGCCATAGATGGACTCGCAGTCATAGCGGGTACTGAACGGGGTTGGCTGCTCATCGTTAGGAGGAGTATAGAAGGATAGTAGGGTGTCATCCAGTGCTACTATTCATTTATTTATCATGCACGCACGGTTGCGCTAAATATAAGCGAAACTAGATGGGTTACAAAACAAAACAATACAAAGGAAAAGCAACGAGAACAACGACAAATTTGGCAGCAAACATACAAGCCGGGGACCCTTCAGACCCTGAACTTGTAGAAATCCTGTGTGCCCACCATAGTCAGCAACTTTCTTAAGTCTCCTCTTGGAGATTAAGGTATTTGGTGCCTTCTGCAGCTCTGATGGCAGCGACTGAAGCCATCTTGCTCCACTGAAAAAAATGAATTAAAACCCCTGCTTAACTTAGGAATTGTGCTTTCGTCTAAAAATCGATACTTACTGGGCGTCAATCTTAAGCCTCCTTTCACTAACTTTAAAGAACAAAATGTCACTAAACCGCTCGTCTAACAATGACTTGAGGTTGAAAACCTGCAAGCTGGATAAAGTACGCGAGAATGTCGGGCTGGGATGACATGGTTACATCAAGATTCTGATGAAAGCTTGCTAGGCCTTCTTCTGATGAAAGCTTGCTAGGCCTTCTCAACTTCTGCCTGAAATTTACTTTTGCCTGAAATTTTTGGTATGAGGTCTCCATACCTGCGAGCCATATCTAAGTACCGTTCGCATTAGTATTAGATATCGCATAATAGAAAAG